GGGAAAGGGGACGGGTGAGCTTCGCTCTCCTTCTTTTCCCTCGGCACCTTCGCTCCTGAGGGAGAAGGGAGCTGGAGGAGCGCTCCCTGTTTCGGCTGAGCTCGGCGCTGTGCAAGCCCGGCATCGCGTCCTCGGGCAGGGGAGATCGCAAGTAGCTTCTTTCTGGTTGCGGGAGGGTTGGGGTGTCTCTGCCGGCCGGCAGCGACGTAGCGAGCCCCCAAGAACTTCTCAGGCGGTCCTGTTTTGCCGTGGTTCGTCTGGGTGTAAGGGATGATGAAGAATAGGACTTGGATTCTGAGGTCATGCACCAAGCCTTTTTCTGCTCATAAAAATTTCAAATGTTGAATTCTTAAGGGGAAAAAAAAAAAGGAATTTTTTACTCTAACAACATTTTCTGCTGGTTGTGACTTCTAAAGAACAATTGCTTTCTCTCAAGTTGATAAAATTTGAGTTTGGGGGTTTCTCCTTAATTTTCTGAAGACCTGAACTCTGCTCTGTGTGTGCTGTGGTCTGGACTCGCTTACCTTTCAGGCATCTGCCTCTTCCTGAGGACTTCAGAATGTCTCAGCCAAACAAAACGACGGCTATTTTGCATTAGACAGGACTAATTTTGTTACGTGAGAGGCCTTGGTTCACAGAGGAAACGGAGTTCTGTTATGTTGCACTCTTGAGTATCTTTTCCACCTTCTGTGATAGCCATTAGCAAGAACACATCAAGTACATTTAAGTCGGAGAATAAGGAAGCTGTTTGCTGAATACTATCTTTACTGTCTAGTGTAGTCAACGTATCATTTTGTCAAAATTTGCACAGAGCACCTTTAATTTTATTTTGCAAAACCTTTTGACTTGATGCATACCTGTGTAATTAATAACAAAAGAAGACAGTAGAGTTGATATGCACAATCATTGAATATTGTAAAGTTGCAGAGCTTAGCATGTGAGCTAAAACACTATTGTTTCATTATTTTCTATTTCTCTATATTACATGATTGAAATTTTTGTATCCAAAACCACATAAAACAGTATGGTATGAGTGCAAATGATAGATGCATGTTGCAAGGTTGAGCAGTTACAAGTAAAAGATACAAAGCAGAGACTGCATACACACAAAAACCCCAAAACATAAAACTTCTAGTTACAGTTCCAGTCAGTAGTCTTATATTTGTTATCTGGGGCCAGGTTCTGTGCCATATATTGAATTGCATACACTAAGCCCTGCACTAAATACAGTCTTTGATGTGATGGGCCTGTCTGCTCTCTGAAGTGATGTCAGATTTCATGTTGGTGTTGAATGACAGGGGAGGCATATTCGTACTTCAGAGACAGAGAATTTAGGTGCAAAGATTAAGATTTTATCAGATGTATTTATTTAATTTTAGGTATTAAGGCTCAAGTACTTCCTCACATGAACTTTGAAACATTTTGAATGGTCAGCAACTCTAGTGGCAAGTGTTCAGTGCTCCTGAACTTTCTTATTCTTATTGTGTCATGCACTTAAGAACCTAACACTGGTGCTGGTCTGTGAACACCTGGATTTGAAAGGGTTGCCTATGGGGAGAAAAGAGAGAGGGGAAAATAAAAAAGGAACCAGAACACTGACATAGTCTATAACTTTGCCAAAGTGAGAAGTAGAAGGAAGCAAGAAGCCACAGAATGTTCAGAAGGGAGTGATTATTCTAGTATGAAAGACAGTAGTGTTACGTCTTGATTAACAGTTGTGTTCCATTTTTAACACAGAAAAATCATGTTATGTTTTAAATCTGGTTCATTTGCTTGTTAGAAGCATTTCTACTTAAATGTTCTCTTCAAAAGAATGAGTGTTCAAAATCACAAGGACCTTTTTTTCTGAAGGGGGAAAAAAAAAAATCAAATGGGAAATCTGCAGTTAAACTCAGAGGTTGGATTCTTGCATTTGTAGGATACTGTTTTTGGTTGCCTTTACAACAGCAAGTCCTGCTTAGGGTAACTAATATAGTATGAAGGTAAAGCTAAAGAAAAAGTATTATCATGTACAGAAATGGTACCTGATGCTGCACCAAATACGTTTTTCTGCTAAAAAAATGCTTTGTGATTTCTATTCAGCTACCTCATTAACAGTAAGTGCATACTGTCATATTGTCCCCTTAATGCAGTCCTCTTTTTAGGTGCTGTTCTTCCTGTTTTCCTGCATTTTCCAGTAGAGTTTTCCTAGTTTGGCAGATTAAAGCCTAGTAACATTTTATGTTCTGATGTGCAAAAATTAACCTTTAATAAAAACGTATTAACTATTTTGTGCTCTGAGAGAGAAAACTACCCCATTGCCTATTTGTTTTGTACAGGGATCAGTTTTTCCTGTGACTTATGCAAGCAGAATTATGCAAAAGCAGCGTTTTCTTCCGTAAGTATAAAAGGCATTCCTTCTTTCCACTTCTCTTCTACACTTCCTAAAAATTTCCAGTGTTAACAACTTACTTTATGCTTTCTCCCCTCCTGCATTTCTAGGACCTGTGACTTGAGGGGAGCACGGCTGGCAGGATCCCATGCTGATGCCCAGGAGCCTAAGACTAATCCTTTGGTAAGTGTTTTATAGAATGGCATTTTGTATATTGCCTAGTAATAAAGACAAGGGTGTACAGAAAAACTTGAATTCCTTCTTCACAGCTTTTTTAAGTACACTTCCTAAAAATTTCCAGTGTTAACACTTTATGCTTTCTCCCTTCCTGCATTTCTAGGACCTGTGACTTGAGGGGAGCACGGCTGGCAGGATCCCATGCTGATGCCCAGGAGCCTAAGACTAATCCTTTGGTAAGTGTTTTATTGAATGGTATTTTTTAAGTTCCACATTAACAACATTATTTGCCATAGAGAAGGAAACAATTTAGATTATTGGTATTTGAGAAGTTATGTTTTTTTAGTGAGATTTCTATAGCTCACAGTTGCTTCTTGGTCACTTTTCTCCTCCTCTATGCAGCTGTAGCTATGACATACCAGCTTTTTGGCCGTACTCTGTTCAGTACCTGCAGCAGCTTAGCCAGCCTAAGGCCTTTGTCTCTGGCCTGGAAGCTGGGAGCCAGGGCTTATGAGGTGGGAAGTTCATGAAGGCCTATCGTGGATGTCTTGCCTTTGGAATCTGAATGCATTTGTGTTGACTGGGCCTTCAGAAACACGTGCCCAGTCTGTGTCATCGTTTGGCCAGCAAGCCAAGCTCTTACAGGCAGTATTAGGTCCACATGGCAGACCCAGCCTTCCTGCCAGCTCTGGTACGGGCTGGATTTACTGTGCTAAACCACTTGGGAGTAAACCTGTGGGAAAATCTGTGCTTCCTGGACACATCAAAGCTTCTCAGATGATCAGGGAGCCCAGGCCCTCAGAAGCTGAAGCTCTAACTGAAAGTCAGAAGCTTGTCCCTGGACAAACATAAAGGATAAAACCCCAGGGGAAGAGTACTATGTCTAAAGTAGCCTTATAACCAGCTTAAGTGAGAATTCTGGTCACTGTCCATAATGTTCTAGTGATAGTCCATACCAAAGCAAAGGCTGAGAATTTGAGGTATTCTCACACTGTTATTTAAAATACAAATAGTGCTGCCCCAGACGTGCTTTAAAGATGTTTCATTCTTGCCTTCTCTAGTGTTGTCCTCCTTGTATCCCCTTTCCTTTTCTGATCAATGCACTTTACCTACATGTTGAAAAGTTAGATACTGCTTTTGCTTTCCCTGAGTGACAACTGTCAATCAAGCTAATACTGTCAGCCCCTTGCAGTTAAACTAGAATAAGCAGCTAACAGCAGGTGAGTTTTTTTCCTCTTTTACAAATGGGCTGCATTAATTAAGAAGAACGTGGAGTGGTAACTCTTGTCTTCTCTTTAAAAATGCAGGTGTTTCTTTCAGATGAGCCAGAAACACTGTACAAGAGGTTGTCCCTGTTAGTGAAAGGCCACGATAAGGCTGTGTTGGACAGCTATGAATACTTCGCAGTGCTTGCAGCTAAAGAACTTGGCATCTCTGTTGAAAAAGTGTAAGTAGCTGATCTGCAGAGCCATGGGGTGACACGTGGTTGTTACCTCTTCTGTCATTTAGCTGTGCTTAGAAGTGGTTTTTTTTCAGAAGAAACATTTTTTCTCAGATTATAAATCTTAACATTGTTTAGATGGCGGCACAGTGCTGAGAAAGCAGCAGCAGTTCTACACTCACAATAGCCACAGAAGTGCATTTTGGCCACACCAAGGGTAGTGACAGCACTTGCAGCAGTTGTCAGTGCTGTAGCTTCCCTGAACTAATGCTGGTTAACACCCAAATATTTGAGTGTTAACCATGTCCAAGTGGTTAATTATAAACCGTAACAGCTTTTAACACTTCCTTGTAGGTCTTATAAATGCCAAATAAGAACGGGGATTTCAGCATAGTTTTTAGGATAATTTTTATTGTCATTCTTTTTAAAAATCAAAATTTTCTTTTTGTGTTTTGTTCAGACATAAACCTCCAAAGAACATAGAACGATTTACACTTCTAAAATCAGTCCACATTTACAAGAAGCACAGAGTTCAGTATGAAATGAGAACGCATTACCTGTGTTTGGAGGTAAGAAAGAAGTAAAAAAAAAAACCTATCTTCTAGCTGCAGAGTTGAAAGATGTTAACGTGTTAGTTCAGGAGTGAATTGACTTGGGTTGGGGGGGAGAGTGCAGAGAACAGCATAAACTAGCTGACCTCGGTACCTCGAATGTAACACAAGCTATTCTGAATGTACAGCCTACATTATTTTTTTATTAAAAGGCTGATTTTGACAACTTTCTTAACAGCTGAAAGAGCAGCTGAAAAATAAGGTAGCATTGGGGGTTATTTGTATGTTTTATGCTCTTGGTTTCCAAGAATCAGCGGGATAGGAGCTTTCTCAGGAAGGGAAGAGAAGGCAGCTAAGTCGCTGTCATTACCAGTCACTAAGGGTTCTCTTCTTGGTGTCTGATGTTTTTGAACATACATATTTTGCCTTATGCAACATCTGTGGCAAACTATAAACTGCATGGGGGAGATGGAAGAAAGGAAGCATACACAAACCACTAGCTTCATGGCTGATGAGACAGACTTGTGTATGGTTTAGAATGCAGCTGTGGTCGACCTTCTTAGAAGAAGGCTTTGCTGCCAGCATCTTGTGGCTCCTGGGTGTCTTACTGTAGACTTGCACAGTGCTCAGCAAAGTGGGACTTTGCTGTAAGTCCTCTGACATGACTGCAGGACAGATGGCTGCTGGCAGACCATCAGCAAGAATTTTTGCCATCCATTGGCAAAATGGAACTAGAAATGGAACTAGAAAATCCATTATTAAGGGGGATTCTGGAGTTGCAGGGTTTATAACTAGCCTGAACTTGGAGAGTATACAAAAGCCGATAATTCTTGCATAGCTTGTAATTCATTTCATCTGATACCTGCAGTGTTAAGATCCATCACTTGCACCATCAGTGTGTGTGATCACAGGTAGTATGTGTAGTTCTTTTGGATGAAATAACTGCTGGATGCCTGTGTCGAGTTGCCTACAGCTCAACTGCCTCTGTTCTGTGTTGTGGAAGCTGCCCTCCTGTAAGATGTTTGGCTCCATGGCAAGAACTAGAGAAGCCAGGGGAAA